TCTCACCCTGAGTGGTCCAGGCCGCACCTTCCTCACGGGCTCTTTCAAAATGCCCTTCTCCCTCCTACGATCTCGTCAGTAATGTCGTCTTTATGCAACATTATTGGTTGTTCTGTTGTGCGAATATTTTAAACCCTTGTATAAAAATAATAAACATCACACGGCATTGCATATTTATGAAGCCAGAGCGAAGGCTGAAAGCGTGTGATGTGCTCCCGCAGACGAGAGCTCCTCCCTTGTCATTTAGGGAGACTCGTTCTGGAAGGCAGCCTCGCGGCGAATCTCACCGTGATGGCCCAGGTTTTGTGGTTTCTTTATTAAATGGAAGCCGGGCATTAAATGGGAACGAGCACATAAATAATGCCTTCCCGGTCTGGGAGCTGGTGCCTGGTGTTCGCCTGCAAGGGAACAGGAAGAAGGCGGCAGGACCCGGCTGGCCGCAGGGTGGGAGCGGCTGCTTCTCTGCCCCAGGAGAAGGCAAAGTGAACCCGGATGAGGGGTTAAGAGTTTTGTGGGTGGGAGGCTGGGGTGGAGAGAGCAAGCAACCGGGTCTGCACAGTGACCCGCTGTGAAATATCCCCAAACCCAAAGGCGGGGACATCCTCACTTCAGACTTGTGGTGTCTTTTGAAAGGAGAGTGCCTAGAAAATAGAAAGAGGGTGGGGAGGGAGAAAACCAAACAAATCGTGCACTCACAGGCACCGAGTTACATCACAGTCCGGCGAGCAAAGCCTGGGAAAGTGCTGGAAGGCAGGCGACTGGAGGTAAGTGGGACTAACTCCCTTTCAAGAAAATCAAGAATGTCCGCAAGCAGTTCCTCCGCTCTTTGATTTTACAGATAAGTAACATTAAAAAAATTTGGGAGATGACTCTAGGACCCTCCTTTTTATTTCTTCAAAAATAAGGATGCAAAGAAAGCACTAGAATTTATTGTGACCATTGTTTTATCATTTTCCCCACTGGAAAATATACAAGAAAGGCACAACTTCCCACCTACATTCAGTTACTGAAATTGAATGCATTCAGCTCTAAGAAAAACTTGGAACATTGTCTTAATTTTTTTCCTCATTTTTCCAGGGTCACTTTGCCACTCATCAACTGGTTCAGATTAGTGTTGTGGGGTCCTAGAAAAATTCCCTAACTACGTCCAAGGTCGTATCACTGATTAATCCTTCCGAGAAGTTTATGGTGGTGTTATTCGTTGCCTGATGGTGTATGCAGACCTCACTCAGACAACTGTACCTGTGGAATTCTCGAGGCCCTGGGTTAACAATCAGAAGGCCTGAGCTCTGCCCTTGCACTACCCGAAAGCTAATGAATGCAGCACCCACTGAACGCACACAGGTAACCCCGCACTGACGGTTACAGACGCCCCACGCAGAGGATAATACGTTAGCACAGAGAGCATGTGGAGAGAGTGATAGAAAACAACCCTGTTTCCAGGGAGCAACCTCGCTCCTTTTTTAGGAAAGGGGAAACTAAAGTAGAGAAGTCGGAGAATGTCAAGGTGAAAGGATGTGAACAAGCCATGATCCTGCTTGTTGCTATTTGAGGGACTCCCTGTGTGCTTTTGCTTACATTTTTCAGGGAGTCTGGGGCGAGAACTCATCTGCCTGGGGGCGACTGGACCGGCGTCAGCCCCTCTTACCCAATCAGATGGGGCTGGAGAGGGCAGGGAAGACCAGGAAGGACAGGCAGGGCTGACCACGCCCAGGATGCAGCAAATGCATGGAGTTCCACGCCCAACAAGAATTCTCAGGCATTTTCTGAGAAGGCGGAATGCACAGGAGTCTACGCCCCAATCTGTCCACCGTTCTCAACAAGAATGGTCCTTAGAGGCCTGTGTCCAGCTCCACTTCTCAGGCAAGAGTGGAAGAGCCGGGTCTTAAACGGGCAAGAGCCTGTGATCTGGTATCTTTTCCGAACATAACAGTTAAAAAATAGTTTCCAATTTTTTTCATTTGTTGATGCAGTTGACCACTCTCCTCCTAGTAGCCCATATTTTAAGCTGAGACTATTTGTATTTCCCCTATTTTCTTTTTTTTTAAGATTTATTATTTATTTATCTTTAGAGGGGAAGGGAAGGAGAGGGTAGAGAAATGTCAATGTGTGGTTGCCTCTTATGCGTCCCCTGCCGGGAATAGGCCTGCAACCCAGGCATGTGCCCCAACTGGGAATCAAGCCGTGATTCTTTGGTTCGCAGGCCTGTGCTCAATTCACTGAGCTACACCAGCCGGGGCTCCCCTATTTTCTTAATAACTTGAATTCCATTGACTTTGTGAAATGATTGGAAGGTATAAAGACAAAGCATAAAAAAATCTGCTGCCATCATCCAAATAGTTTGTAAAAGATTATTTCTGGACTTTCCAAAAATGAGGCTATACAGGAGAACAAGAGGGACTGAAGACCCGAGTCTGGTAAACTGAACACTTTATTTAGAACTCTTGGTTGTTGGGACAGAAAATGAGATAAAACCGACTTCGGGAGACATTGGATGTGTTATAAATCTGCTGCGTAACCTCAGAGCGACCAAAGCGATGAGGTGGGAACAGTCAGAAGCGAGGGTTTGACGCCATGGGGACCCTCTGGGCGCTCTGTCAGGAGTCCACTTCTGGACTCTGAGAAGCCAGTTCAGGCAACGTCCCACGGTGGCTTCCAGAGGGACCGTGCTCCATAGAGTCGGGAGGGAGGAGCGAGAAGAACTGTTTTCAGAGGTAAAAATGGCATTAAACAAAACAGAGCTGTCCACCTTACTGAGAAAAAGGAGTGAAGAATCAAAGTAATAAGAAAAAATGACCTGTTCAGTTCTTGAATTTTAGAAATTTTAGGATAATTTTAGTGAATTTAGAAATCACTGAGATGGGTCTCAAGGGTCACGGACTCTCCTCATTTTAGGGAAAAACTCCTTTATTCAGGGACATCATTTGCAGGCGATGTCAACAAACCTGTACAACACGTGGTCTAGTGTGTGGTGCTTAATTACCGGTATTCCCTGTATCCTTATTACATACACGGCACTCCCCTGGATTCTGGGGTGTGGGGAGGGAGCGGCATAGGTGAACAGTCCCTCCCTCCCGCTGACCCTTTAGCAATCTGTAGAAGGCAAAGCTATAGTTATCGATTAGGTCAACCTAATCTAAGGACTGATGGTTTGTTAAAAAAGCAAACCCGACACTCATCTCCCATCATTTCCTCCAGAAAAGAATGGGTGGTTTATTAAAAGAAAGATCATACTCTGTAAGATGCGCCCCCACAATCCGCCGCGGCCTGCACCGCCTGTGCGGTCTGGCAGCTGTCCTCCCCGCACAGCCTGCCAAGGGCTCAGAAAACTCCCATCTGGCTGCAGCGGAAGGTTTTCAACTGCATTTTCTCTCTCTGCTCCTTGCTTCCCTTTTGGGGGAAGACCAGTGAGCAAAGGGGAAGGCAGGCTAATTTCATAAGTGATGTAAGTAAACTTTTATTTATTATGATTATTATTTTCAAGCCTTGTTTTTTCAAGTCTGGGGGGCTGAGTGGAATAAGGGGAGGGTGAGAGAGGAGAGTTGGGGGGAGGATACCAGCAGGTGGCGCGTGTGTCCTCAGAGACTAGAACGTTCCACCCAGCCTGGAATCCCTTCAGAACAAGTGCATAGAGTGGGCATGCTGGTCAGGCAAGTGACGAAGGTCACGCTGCACCTTCACATGGAGCTGATGGAATGACAATTTCCAGCCTTCTGCTCCGACATCACCAGGACCACTTAACACACTGCCCACCCCCCACTACAGGGCCTGGATTATTTTTCCCTACTTACCCGGCACCTTCATTTCCACTAGCCAAGTGCCTCGCAGTGACAGGCCTTGGGTACAAGGCAAAAACAAAGGCTCCAAGGCAGTGATCTTCAACCTTTTTCTCATCTCATGGCACATACAAACTAATTATCAAGATTCTGCAGCATACCAAAAAAGTATTATATTTTTTTGCCGATCTGACAAAAAAGGGTATGATTTTGATTCAGCCACACTTGGTGGCTATTGTTGTGTTGGCTGTTGTCATTTTTTAAAAAACATCTGACAGTCTGAGGGAAAAGAGGTCAGTGCCCCTAACTAAATAGTCAGTTACTGCACATTGTAAAGGTTCCTGGGGCGCAGGGGTGGAAAATCGCTGCCCTGCGGGGTTGGCGCTGAAACGTGGTGAAGGAAATGGACTTGACCAGTCTTCCAGCTGGTCTGCCCTTCTGGTGTCCTGTTGTGTCGCGTCTGGTGTGCCAGCCTTGCTCTGACCAAACGTGGATTTGCCTGCAAGCAGACACGTCAGTTTGCACGCCCCACAGGGCCAGGGAACAGGAGCTGCTGGGGACGCTAAGGTACCTACCTGTGCACAGGCTCAACCTGTGACTAACTGAGTTACTGCTTGTTGGCATCACTGGCTCTCTAGCCTCGCCTTGCACCACCTGACTCTGGGGCTCAGGCAGCCAAAGGCAGCCCCTCTCCCGCACGTGACAATGTATTCTGTCCCCCGTAAAAACTACCCTCCTTTTGGAAGTCCTTTATTTCTGGGTCTGCCGTTTTCTGCCATCACTCAGGAAACCTGTCCTTCCTGTTTGCTGATGGCCTGGGAGCACACCGGTAGCAGTGCCTGGGTGACCTTAGACGATTTTCTTTACTTCCTCTGTAGACTGGAGAAAACACAATTTTCTGCTCTCCGGGCTCCTAGATTAATGAAATCACTATTGTAGACTCCCCAGACCAGTGCCTGGCTCACGGCAGGCACCCACATGCCAGCGGCTGTCTGCTGGCGGCTGGACAGCACCGTGGAAACCTGAGTTGGGGGACCCCTGGGTCACAGAGTCAGAATAATTCGCAGAATTGAGATAACCTCTCACCTCCCCATGACCTCACTGGATTTTCAAATCCCTTCCATTTCCTTGTCACCGGCTTCTTAGACCCTCCAAAATCTTTTGTCCCTTATCCACTTCCCGTTCCCGGCAGCCAAAAGAAAGCGAGAGGAATGGGGCGTCTCAATGAACGTGACCCCCTCCCCGGAGCCGGCTCGCGCGGCTGAGCGCCCGCCAGCAGCCAGCGCCAGCCCGGGCTCGCGGCGGAGGAAGTCCCGGCGCTGGGCTGACAGCTTCGGGGAAGGAGGAGGAGAGAGCGGCGGCGGAGGAGGGGAGAGCGCGGCCGAGAGGAGGGCGCAGAGGAGGGTGGAGACACATGCGCGCTGCCTGCAGCCGCCGCCGCCGCAGTGCTCCGCTTCCCCGGGACAGGAAACCTCCGAGACCGAGCTGCTGCGGCCGCCTGGTCGCCAGCGCCTCTTTCCGCGCCCGCCACACCCTTCTCCCCTGCTCCCGGCATCTTTGGCGGAGCCCTGCAGGAACGCGGCACCCGGAGCCGTCTCCCCCTCCCGGGGGAAAGCTGTGACGCCCCCCCGCAGGAGCAGCGGGGCGGGGTGGCGGTAGAGGTGGGGGCCCGGGAGAAGATGGCGACGCCGGGAAGCGAACCCCAACCTTTCGTCCCTTCTCTCTCGGTGTCTACTCTGCCCCCACATCATCACAGCCACCACCACCACCATCAGCACCACGGAGGAACCGGAGCCAACGGCGGGGTTGGGGGAGGCGGCGGCAGCGGCGGGGGCTTCAACCTGCCCTTGAACCGGGGGCTGGAACGCGCGCTGGAGGAAGCAGCCAACTCCGGGGGGTTGAACCTCAGCGCCAGGAAATTGAAGGAATTTCCCAGGACCGCGGCCCCCGGGCACGATCTCTCGGACACCGTGCAAGCAGGTGAGAGAGGGCCGGGGGGCAGGCAGTGGGTGTGAATGGCTGTCCGTCCAGCCCTCCCCGACGCAGCGGCCAGCAGGAGATGTAGCCTCGCCGGGGGTCCATCCGCCCGTTCTCTCCCGAGGAAGGGATCGCGTGGGCACAAGAAAGGCTCCTCCCGCCCCCCACGGAGGGCATGGTGAGCCCCGCCTCGCTCGGCTGCTGGCGGTGCAGCCCGCCCGGGGAGAGCTGGGGTGCGCCCTGCCGCTGTGCCCGCCAGCGCGCGGGTCCCAGGCTTCCCATCCAGCGGCGGCCGCGCGGGCTTCCTGGGTTCGGCGCAGGGCCGGGCACCCGGGCGCAGGGGCAGGGGAACCCGGGCGCTGCGTCTGCCCCTCCGACCCGGGCAAGCCCTCTGCTTCAAGGCGGTGCCTATCCTGGTGGGGAAACCCTGACAAAGGTGGCGCGCCCTTGGCCGACCCGAGGGCACCGGCGCGGTGCCGCGAGGGCCCTCGGCAACGCGAGCGATAATGCAACTTGGTGCGGACTGAGAGGGGGTGCCGAGGCTTCCTCTTCCTGCGCCTGTGCGAGGAGAGAGCCCCTGCGATTGTCGTGAAGCCGAATCCGCCGTCGTTTGGCGGGCGGTCGGCTCTTGCTCCTTGCTTTCAACTCACCGCCCACACGGTCTGGTTCCTACCACGGCGGCTACCTAGTTCTCAGTAACCCGATCTTGGCGGGGACCCAGGGAGGGACGGCATGGCATAGGCAGAGAAAAGTAATTAAAGTAGGCCGGTTTTCCTGCGTGAGCCGGACAAGTTGTAACTCGCGCCAATGAGCAGCCAGCTTTTTCAAGTTATGTCATGTGTTGACACACTTCTGAGACGTCTGCTTTCTCTTTGGTGCTTGGAGTTCCTGCAGCGCGATCTATAAACAGGAAGGAGGGCGATGGGATCCCTACGGAACTCGCTTGGTTTCCTACCACCCGGTTCAGCTCCCAGGGGAGGGTTTCCATCTTGGCCAGCGCCCAGCATTTCCTGGGGCCCCATTTTGGATCCACTGCCCAGGCGTTCTGGCCCTCATCACCTCATGAGCCCGGTGTCAGAGCCCCTGGATTTTGGATGGACTCTGGGCTCCAGATCCCCCAGTGTCCTCTCGTGGGGGGAGGAAGGAGTCGGCCGGGGAGCGGGGGTAAGGGTGGGGGTGGGGGTGGGGTGGGGGGGCAGCCGGTTGGCTTTTGGAGCTAGATTTCCAGTGCCTTTTCTTTTAAACTCCTTTTAATTCAATAAACATTTATGGAGAGTCCCAAGGAATGTATTTAGACAGGGTTCTGAGCCCTGGAGGCAAAAAGGGCTTTTCAGGGGTCATTAAACTTTGTGATTTGGATTTAGGGACAGACAGAAATAGGCAAAAAAGGAGGACATTTCCAGAGCGGAGCTGTCTGCAGCTTGGGCGTCTCTTAGTTACATTTTCTCAAGTGGAAGTTATTCCAAGTATTGCCTGAATTACAAAGTTTAAAACAATCTGTTAAGTTTTACTTCCTTTTTGCCATCGAGGGTCCATGAACTATGGAAGGGTTGAATAAGAGGCAGAAAATGGAGCTGGCCTGGGAGGAGTGACATGTGTTTGTACCTCTGGGAGCGGGGCCTGGGGTGTTCCTCTCCTGACTTCCTGCTGCCCTTTATGTCCAAAGCTGGGTGAACTTGAGGTGTCTGCGGCGCTGGCTCTACTTGGAGGAAGACCTGTGCTTGGTTTCTTCTTTATTGACCCTGTCGGGGTGACACTGGTTCATGCAGTCCTGTAGGTGTCAGGGGTGTGAGCACTGTGCCATCTGCGTTAGTTCTCACCATCCTCTCTAGACTCCTGCTCCTGTCCTCACCGACAGCTGGGTGGGGGCGACGAGAAGACAAGTAAGAGGCTCAAGGGCGGCCCCCCAACTTAAAAGGTGAACCAGCGATTGGACCCTGATGATTCCACTTGAGTATTTATGTTCTCGGCCATAGTCCGATTAAGCAGGAACAAGGTGGAGAGGGGCAGAATCTGGGGGTTCATTCAACCGCCATCCATCCCCTGAGTACCCAGGCACTGTTCTGGGCGCCCGGCACACGGCAGCCACCGACAGAGAATCCCGGTGTCCATTCTGAGGGACTTTTCATTCTAGTTGGAGGGGCTCGGGGAGGTAATGAAATTTGTTTTGCGGGAGGAGTAGGAAGAGTTATGGTACAGACGTAACATCCTTGCTTTAGAAACAGACACACTGCTTTCTGTGATGGGTGACTCGAGGTGGCTTGTAACAGCAGCACAAACAATGACTAATCATCAGCATAGAGAGGCATGAAATCGGGCCTGATGCAAAGTATTGCAGCAATAGGTACACCAGGAAAGCAAACTTTTTTCCCACTTGCTGTTTTATTAGGTAGTATCCTTTTGGGAGGAAGAAGTTCAAAAAGGTACTTGCACAATTGAGATAAAGTAGATGGAAAAGAATGAGCAAGTGAAGAAAGGGTCTGTCCCTGGCTGATTGCTGGGGGCTCTGGAGAATGAAAGGGTGTCCCTCGGACTTGCGGGGCAGAATTTGTGGTCAAGGGGAGGGGTGGAGTGTATTGCCGACATCTTTTCGTGGTGGCTGGAGGCAGGGAAGACTGTTTGGGGAATGAAGAGCTTACGCAGGCAGGACGGTAGACGGGCAGCGTGGAAAATGCTCATCGAGGTCCTGCATGCGTGAGGGCCAAGGATGGCGGTAGGACGTGCAGAGGGTAAGGTTAGGCCGGGATGACGCGGAAGCAATCAGTTCTAGGAAGCGGTGGGAGCCAGCCGACACTTGAAGGCGAGATGCCAAACACCATGAATAGACGTCATTTTCGAAATTCAGAGGGAAAGGCCACTTCAGCGAGGCTGGCTAGGGGAGCTTTTCACAGCACAGGTGGGATTTGGGTCAGGTTTCGCAGGATGGAGAGGTTTTGGATAGAAGTGCCTGTGGACAGTCTGTGGTTGGGAAGATAGTTCAAAAACGTGGAACGAGAACCTGACAGTCTGAGATCTGTGAATGAAACAATCAGAGGGCATTTAAGCCCATGCCTGGGTCATGTCCTAACCCCCCCCCCCCCATCACCATATGAAGGGGACTCGGGATGGCTGAGGCCTGTTATCTGTCAGCGCTCTCAAATGCCTGTACACATTCCAGGAATCTTCTCTGAGATTTGCGGGCAGGCTTATCTCCTGAAGGCCGACTTCCTCCATCCTGGTACCACTCTGTAGCGACCAAGTCCCCGGGCTCTGAGGACATTTTAGTCATTGGAATGTACACGAGAGTTGATAAAGAAATGTATTCCTTCTGAGAAACGTGTTCTGTTCCATAACCTTGGCCATACAGATTTTTCACTGCTCATGTAATGGCACTTTTGAAATCACATTCTTAAAATGTCATATCCAGCTATATCCAGTTTCCAGTTGGTTTCCTGCTATTGGTTAACATTATTGGTTATTGCTGTGACCATCATTTACTGTGCTACTCACCACCATGTCAATGCCAGTTTCCATTACACGTAGTCAAAGTACTTCTCCATTCTTAACGATTAGTCATATTCTTTTCCTTCCTCTTGTTATTATTTTTCTCCTGTTGATAGTTTCCTCCCCATTAAGTTGTAGAGATTTCAAAAAGTGAAAGCTTTAGAACAACTAAGGCGGCTTGGAATCACGTTCACACGAGCTCTTCCACGCGCCTGTGGGTGCTGCAGACAGTCTGTTCACTGAAAAGGTGGGGGCCCACTGCGCGTGATCCTGGAATAATCATGGTCGGTCGCAGCCCACAGAGCCCTGTAAAGTTTTGGTCTGTGCCCGTTTATAAAGGGCCGCCCAAGGTGTGACCTTCATCGTTGCAGTGATTCTACTGGTTGGCTTGTCAGTCGGTGCGGCGTTTTATTTGAACTTTAGCACACACCACTATTTTAAACCTTGTCCCGGTAACTGACTGAAATTTGGGTGTGTGTTTTGTCTCAAACTTAGATTTTTCCTGCTGTGGTGTAGCAGTTCTTTGGTGGAAGAATTTAAAGAGTAGATAGCTGCCTTTTGAAACCCGTGCTGATGCTTTTTTTTTTTTTTTGCTCTTGGTGTCCTTCTGGTGTGTACAGACTTCTTGTTTTCTGTTATTTAACTTCATCATTGCTTGTTTATGCATAAGTAGTTTCCCCATTTTGTGTGTGTTTTTCTGTTTTCCCCCTTTTTCGTACCTATATGTCTATATCCGATCTGTACCCATCCATACATATATAGATACATAGCTATAACTGTAGAGAGAGGTATAAGGGCTTATTATGTCTAGACTGGGCGGCCTTGACTTTCCCCTAATAGCTCCCCAAAGTCCTCACTCCCCAGGGGCTGTATAGGAGGGGGTGCTTGTCCAGAGCTTTGGCCATTTAAACGGCAGAAAGGCTCTTAACTCTACTTACGGGGTTATGGGTTCATTAGTCAGGCCACCTAACTTGAGCCCCTGTTTGTGATGCTACTTTCCCAGTTTGGTTTAGCTTTTTGGAAAGTCAGCCCTCTGCCTTAGCTCGGCCTCGAGGGAATCTGGCCTGGGTTTGGATCCGGTAGCGCCACCCCAATTGTCGCTGGGGAACCCTTCCCAGGACTGTGTCAGTGGTTGGAATTGAGGTAAGTTGGTGTTAATTGCGGTGCGTATTTCAAATAATAAAATTACCATCTATTGTAAAAGGTTTAAGAAGGCCAGACATAAAGCCCAACTCTATTTACGTATCTGATGCCTTTTCTAAGAAGTCTCTGTCATGGCTGCCAGTGTTTCCTTGCCCGGAAGTTTTAATGGGCTAGTTGATGTATTTCAGATAGGTTTTTATTTTGTGTGTGATGTAATTTGTTTAACCAAAAAAAATAAATAAAAAAAAATAAAAAAAGACAAGAAAAGGAGAGGTAAAAAAAGAAAGGTCAGAAATCCAAGTAAACCTCAGCTTGGGAAAACTAGGTTACCGATACTTACACAGACTCGGAGTATGCCCCTGTTTTCTTCAATTTAA